TGAATGGTGTCCATTGAAGGTCATTGCGAAATGGAAAATTTGATATTTTTGACACATTTTTTCCTGCCATTGTTCTCATTCATTTTCTTAACAAAAAACATTGATTTAAACATGTGTTTGCTTTTTGTTGTTCTTTTATTTTTAAACATCTTGAAATTTTACCTTAGCCTATAAATTATTTATAATTGCTGTATATATCTATGTGTGTGTGTATATTGGACAAGGACACAGATAAATTTGTAAACGGAAATTGTTTTCGTTTTTTTATTCGCATTTCGAATGCAATGGGGTGTATATTTATTAAATAATAGGTCAGGGTGCATACTGAGTTATGTTTATTTTCAGTCTTCAGGGAATATCTATGCGAATTTTCGGAAGGAATTTGTTTAATATTTTATTTCATTCGTCCATCAGACATGTTCACCTGGTGGATTCGAGAGGAAAACATGAAATGTACCGGTATGCCCAAAATGTAAATCTATACACAAAAGTGTGGTCAACAACTTTTTTAAATATCTATTTAAAAAATGTACCTTGATCTTTCATAGAAATCCCCTTATATCAGTTTTTTCCAATCCTCGAAACACTTCGGAAGTGGCTTTTTGATATAGACATAAGATCCTGTTTCAATTCATTTTTCTGTCTCCGGAATCTTTGGTAAATGATTCCCTTCCATCGGTGTTTTCATTTTCGGGAAGGGGAAAAAGCGAACAGGGGCTAAGCCCGTAAACACTTTGGTGAAGCATGCTAAGGTATTGATTTTGATAAAAAAAAAAACGTTGTGTGATCTGCTGCCTTATCATAGTGCAAAAATTCATAATTGAAGTTTTCCACAATTTTGTGCGTTTCTGGCGAATCGACTCGACCAATAGGAGATGACTTCAACGTAGTATTACTATTAACCATACGCCCTTGCGACAAGATTTTATGATACACCACACGACATTGCAGTCGGAAAAAGCAGTGACCTTTTGACATGCTTTGTTTCGTACTTGTCTCTTCTAGACTTTTCCATTGTGATGTTTGGGATTTGGTTTCAATGGCATAACCATACATCCATGATTCGTCACCAGTTTTGACCTTTTTGAGGTAATCTTGATCATACTTACCCATGATCAACAGCATCTTGCGATGTTATTTTATTTGCTTAAAATTTTGCAATTTTAGAACAATCTTCGCTGCAGCTCGTTTCATGCCTAAATCATCAACGATTATCGGAAATAATTTTCTTAACTCCTCTAATGGTTTCATTGGGTTTTTGACGACTAAGGCCAAGACCAGGTCAAGTATCGTCATTGACATCTTCTAGGTATTTTTTACACAGGTTATACTACAATTTAACATGTGTTCTTTTCCATAGACTAATATCTATTTTTAAACTCTGTATTCCGAGATAATAGAACCGTTTATTAGAATTAGATTATCAATTTACTTAATTCACTTGGTAATTCCTAATACTATTTTTTCATAGATTTGAAAAATTCTAAAGACAGTACATTTTCTTCCCTCTGTTTTGGCCAAACATATCGATTGTGGGTTTCTAATAATTGTTCTTAACTATCCTTAGATAAAATGTTTCAACAACATGTTCCTCTTTATTTTATTGCAGCACCATGTTGCACATTTCTGTGTCTTGGACTTTATTTAACATGCTTCGGAACATGCTGTTGTATGATGTGTTGCCATTTTAAAGGTACCTTCATAATGGCTCTCTCATAGAAGTCCTGCTCCCTAGTTGCAAAAAAATCTAGTGGTCGATTTTTACAATCCTCCGTAGATACCAATTTTTTTTTATCATTAAAGACATTTTGCAATGGAAGATAATCGCTTGGTGAATAGTGTGGACTGTATGGGGAATGCATCAAAACGTCCCTACCAAGCTTCCGAAGTTTCTGACGAGTCACTGTAGATGTTTGTTGCCTAGCGTTGTCCTGGCGAAACACGACACCTCAGCTATTGGCTTATTCTGGCCGTTTTTTGTCAATTTCTATCTTCAAACGGTCCAGTTGTTGACAGTAGAGATCAGAATTTAGCGTTTGGCCATATGGAAGCAATTTATAATCAATAATCCACTTCTAGTCCCACCAAATCCATAGCAGAACCTTCGTGGTTTGGCCACCGTTTGAGATGCTTCAACGCTCTTTGACAACGATCGTTTGCGCACAGGGTTATCGTATGTGATCCATTTCTCATCTACAGTCACCATCCGTTTAAGAAATGGGTCTATCTCATTCGGTTTGGCCAAGGTTTCGCAGATGAAAATTCGATCCATCATATTTTTTTCTCTAAATTGATTTGGCATGCAAACATCGTTCTTCTTTTTGAATCCAGCTTTGTGTAGATGGTTTATAACAGTTGTATGGTCGATTTTTAGCTTCTGGGCGATTTTACAACTGCTAACATGCCCGTCAACTTCAATCATTTCTCCGAATTTATCGACATTTTCGATGAATGGCCTAATGAATTTTCTCCCCAACCTAATATTTGAATTTCTTTCTCTTCGTTTAGCTCAGACTTTTGTATATATTATTGATAAAAGTTTTTAATTGTAATATATTAAAAAATACAAAATATATATCGCAACATGTTGCGGTTTATCTTAGCAACTTGTTACTATTACATTGCGTACAGTTCTAGCATAGCAACATGTATCAAGTTCCTCTCAGTATTCTCATATCTGAAACCTTTGTTTATTAAACAATTTTTGAGGAAGAGAACTTGATAATGAAGAAAGTTCAGATGTTAATCTTTAGACCTTATTATTTTATAAAAATCCTCTGATACCAAAATATCGTACCAAATAATACCAGCGACATGTTGCTCTGTATTTCGTATACATGTTGTGATGGGTGGATACAAATATTTTCATTGCAACATTGCAATTTATTCGCCTACAATGCGAAACAAGGACATATTTCTATGTCTGGGTTTGAAGAATCAACTAGATTTTTTACGGTGGTTTTTAATAGAGGTATTTGATACGAATTATTAAAAAAAAAAAAATAAAAATATGTATCAGCGATATGTTGCTTAGTTTAAAACATATATTTCTCTTGGTTATTAAATAACCTCATGTTTCGCAACATGTTGCTCAAAATTATTTTACGGCGACAGATTATTAATTTATTTTTTAATTCCATTTGGAAGTGGCAATGAAAATGTATTAAAAATTCTGCACAACAGTAATTATTTATTTATGAAATTTAAATAAAAATGTTGCTGAATATAAAAAAGGATCATATTCAGCAACATGTTGCAAAGATGTTTCAAAATGTTTATATGGTTTCTACAGTTTGTTATAATGAAATGCTATCATTTGATTTTTTTTCTCAAATATTTATAAAAACATGGTAAATCCATTTTTTTTAAGTATTTTGCAACATTATAGTCGAACATGTAACTAGAGTATTACATTAAAATAGCATACTCTTTTAACTACAGAACCACTGACATTCACATTCAGCAACCGATGTGTTATGTCTTTGATTTTCAATAAAAATATATAAAAAATATCTGCCAGTACGTTTTCATAATATATATGGCTAGCAACATGTTGCAATATTTAGGGAAACATGTTGCTCTCTTTATTTATGCTAATTATATTCATTATTGGTTTTTAGATTAAGATTTCCATTAAGAAAATAATGCCATTGAAACCAGAAGCATAATAATACTTTAACCCCAATCACATACTAAATGGAATAAAATTAAACCTTTTTTCAGTCTGTAATATCGTATAAACATTTTGCTTGTATACCTGCAACTTGTTGCAATTACATAAATGAACATGTTGCTTAACTGCCTATATTTATTCTTTAAATTATATCCATTTTATTTCTTGTCGTTTTAATTCCCTTTGATTATTTTCATAGAAATTTCAAAATCAACAAAATTCTTTGCCAGGACACTTTTATTATATTCTTGTCTACAGACAATTAATTAATTGTGGCGCCTTTGATTTTTCCTTTCCTTATCTTTTTTTTTTTGCATTTTCTTTTTTTTTATAATTTCATGACATTAAAATTGCGATCAAGCCATTGAAAACAATAGCGCAATAACATTTCGACCCCAAACAAATAATTAACAAATCGAAATCAAGCAGAGAAACATTTTATGAAAATATTTTAGTTAAATTCGACACATTCCCTATTTCAATGGTGTTTTTTTAAATTTTTTTCTGAAAAAAAGAAAAGATAATAATGAACTGATGCCAAGAAAATTAAACAAAAAACCAAAACAAAAAAATAAAACCATTTAAAAAATAGCGAGAGGAGATCAGATGGCAACAACAAGTTTTTTTCGATTTTTTTATTTTGAAAAACATTGACATTGAATTACTGACCAACACAGAAAATCTCTCAAGGGGGGATGAAAAACAAAACCATGAAAGTAAGAATAAAATATTGTCTTGCGTAGATAAATTTTTAGATAATTCGATTTTTTTGTCTTTCTTTCGATTTTTTATAGAAGGCAATCTGGGAAACAAGAAAATTAAAAAATCTGATCATTAACACTTTTTTTATTGGGGGAAAATTCATTGAAACACACCTTTAGTTTTCGACAAACTACAAAGAAAAGCAAACGCATTGAAAGAGAAATAATAGCTTAGCTAGGTAGTGCACCTCCGTTTCTGAATTTTTTTCTTGTTAATGAAACGAAAAATTTGAAAATTTTTAGACAAGTGATTAAATAATCGGCAAAGGAAAAAAATATCTACTTTTGAGGATTCAGGAGTTTCTCCCGAAGAAAAAAAGAAAACTAACAAAAAAGTGACAATGCGATTTTGGAATTGAACATTTGTGGAAAAAAAAATCTACCAACAAAATTCGTAATTTAAAAAAAAATCGAAAAAATCTCCGTCGCCAACAATATTGAACGTACAAAAGCCAAACACCAGCTGAAGTTTTTTTTTCTCAACACACTTGAAGGCTAGCCAGCTTCTCTACCACCCAAACAAAATAATCAACCAACCAACAAACTGAACTGAACAACAACAAAAAAATCAACAAAAACACCTAACCAACAACAACAATGTCTAACAGCGAGTTAAGTGAACTAATTGCCATGGGCTGTCCCGACCTTGGTTCGACAAATAGCAATGGTGTTACCGCCTCGCATATTGTCGATGAAAAACGTCGTCTTAGTGTCAAACAAATGACAGCCACAGAATTGGCTGCTGCCCGTGCGGCAGCTGCTTTTGAGATTAAAAACGCCCTGGCCAAAGCCAAAGATGTTGGCCTGATACTTAGTGCTCCGGCCAGCAGTAGCACATCCCTGACAAAAAATAATAGCGTATCGAGCTTCCACAGTGAACCGCCAGCTGCACCCAGTAGTCTGTCGAAGACCAGCAGTGAGACGAGTTTTTTCTCAACCAACACCACACAGGTGGAGTGGACAAATAAATTTGAAGAAAATTCAGATGCATCTTCTTCGGAGGAGGAAGAGGATTCACCACAAAAAGATGTTGATGCAAAAGAAAAAGATCGCAAACATTTACAGGCTGCAAGGCCAAAGTTGTTACCCTCTTCCCCAGCTCCCAGGGAACGTATAACTTCGCTACCCTCTCTCCTAGATGATGGCATGGAAGATCACTTCCTTTCGCTAAGCTCCTCAGCCGCTCCCTCATCTGCTGGCACCGATCCCGGCTCGGCCTCAGCTGCTGGCAATTTGAATCTCCCTCCCAAATCATCACCCTCATCACAACAACAATCCGATGAAAATATACCCGCAGGATTTTTCAAGCACCCATTAAATAATTCCGATATCTCTTTGACGGATCTGAATAGTTCGGAACGTTTTAAAAGTAAACGTCCCTCGATATTGGATTCCATTGAGTTGCTAAGGAAACAACGTCGTGATCGTGAGGATAGCCGAGAACGACGCTCCGATTCCCTACCCGATGATGATCGTTTTGTGCGTAACAATGAACGCAGCCCTGTTCCGGATCGTTTAAATTCGGCCAGCAAAGATCCTAGCCGACGCGGCAGTAATGCCAGCAATATCAGTGACATGTCCGTATCGGCCACCGTCACTTTGCCACCAACTCCACCCCTAACACCTTTCCCCTTGGCCAAGACAGCCTCAGCTCCGAATATGGAGAGGCGTAGAAGCAGCTTGGCTGGTCTCTTCCCAGGACCCTCTCCCTTAATTGCCAATGAACCAGTCCTTCACACAGATCCCAAAGTTCAAGAAGAACTAACCAAAGAGGAGATTAAAGAAATTGCCGAAGAAACGCTACGCCGGGAAATACCCACTGGAAAAATGGTACATCGTACCAAAACCCCACCACCTGTGGGCGTAAGCCTTGGCGTTAATCTCAAAAAGGTTGCACCACCAAGTTCCAAAATTACCGTAAAGAAAAATGAAGGACCCATGTTGGGTGTGGTGCTGCGCAAAGTGGAGCGTAAAGTAGAACCCCAAAAAAGTATTCTCGATGATGATAAGCCCCTTTATCATCTCTCCATTGTGCGCAGTGATGGTAAGGAGCATAAACCCTCCTCCTCGTCGTCGTCATCTTCGTCCTCCAAACCCAAACCGAAACCGGTGCCATTACAAAAATCTGCCACCATTGCTAGTAAACCAAATCCAGGTGGTATTCTAACCGGGCCACAGGGACAACGTCCGGCCACAGCACATCATCCCCCTGCTGCCGCTCAACAGGTACCCGCTAAACCCGGTAGACCTATGCCTGGTGTACCAATAACCATACAAAAGATCGAAGGTGATAAAATTATTATCATCAAGAAAATTATCGTACCGAAAAATTCCAAAATACCGGAACAATATCTTAAGGTTGGTTCAAACGTGTTCGATGTTGTCCCCGCCGTTTGCGCAGTGGTGTTTTCGAACAGTGTTTTTGTCCAATGTTTGTGGAGGATGAAATGTGCGTTTTTCTTATCTTCTTGTCTAGACATGTAATGTGTCTTTCTGTTGGTTCCGTCCACCCTTTTCTTTTGTACGTTCAATGTTGTTGTTTTTATTGTATTTTATGGAAATTTTTTGTCAATTGTCTTCTTTTTTGTTGAAAGAGAAAATTTTAAAAAATAATTTAAAAAAATAATTTGGTTATGTTCTGATTGGCCTTTAACATTAAAGAGCTGAGCTGTTTAGTCAACAACTATTAGAGTGATAAATATGATTTTATAACTTATCGGAGCTTGGAAATAGCTTGGAAAAGGAGAATGTATATTTTTAGACAATAAGAATAATGCGGATTTTGCCTTTAATGTTTTAATTCTATCAGGACTACAAGTCAGATTAACGATAGATAGCCGTATAAATCGAAGTCATGAATAGCAGTGTAGATTTTGTAGGATCGTTTGATCCGGTCCGATAAGTGAATATTAAAAAAAAAACAAATGTTTGAATTCGGAATCATCACAGCATCTATTCCCGAGAAAATTAAAGCGGCATCAGAATATTTTGAGGACTTCAGAATAAAAAACATGTTCGAATTATGTTCAAATTCAAATTTATATCTTAAAATATTGATGACGTCCTGCTGTTAAAATAATGAAGATTATGTGACTACCAGAGCTAAAAAATATTAAATATTCTAGTTTTTTTATAAATCTGCCGATTTGCTACTTTCTGAGACTATCAAAGCTATAATAAAGAATAGAATCGATTTTTATGATTTTTTTAGGAATATATTTGAAGGTTCAAGAAGTCTCATTTCAAGAAGAGGTGTTTTTTGCAATTTGTCTGATAGAAGATCTCTCTCTCTCCCCCTAAAAGTGTAAAATTTTTACAAGATTTATAGTCGAATTTTCATAATTTTTTTGAAAGACTTTTAGAAGTGAATTTTTACGTTAGGAATTAATAAACGTGCAGGTTTTATAGTTTTCTGAAGGACTCTATGAAGTATAAGCATGACAAATATTACCAAATATATCTCCTGGAATTCATATGGCAATATGGATTAGATCATTTGCAGGCTCTTGGTTCTCTTAAACGTATTTGTTAAGGTCATTTTTGGACTTCTTAAGTGAAGATTTTTAAATATATTTGTAGGAATATTAAGCGTTTATTTTTTAAATATTTTTTTGTATATCTGAGGCTGCGATTTTTAGTATATTTGTTTGGTGCTTTAGGAGAATTTAACGTGTTTGAGCATATTTTTGGAACATTGGAATTTTATGCATATTTTTAGGGAATCATAAGGTAAATATTTCAGATTATCCGGAAAATATTCTCTGTTGTCAAATTAGCAGGGATAGTAGGCTCAGAATAATTTGTGTTTACAGAACAAAGGTTTTTTTTTACAAGATTTGGATATTAAATTATTGATATTTTTATAGCTCCAATTGGCTGTAAGAAATATATTGTATGACAAATATATATTTGTCAGATATTTAAATATAACATCAGGTAAGATTAGAGAGCCTAATAGTCAAGGAAACTAGCCCTTTGGATTAGGATTTAGTGTAATTTTTAGGGTATTTATGGAACTCTTAAGCGTCATTTGTGGACTTTCTAGGCATTTTGAAGGATTTTGAGAATGTTTCTTGGGACTCTTAAGATAAATATTTCAGATTATATTTTGGGACACTTGAGTGTGGATTTTTTACGACATTTTCGTGACTCTTTAGAGTGATTTTTTTTTACTATTATTCAGAATAAGAATTTTTGAGTATCTAAGGGTTTTAGGGATATTTGTGGGAGCTTTAGGATGATTAAGAACATTTTTAAAGTATAATCGAACACACCCGAGGGAGGAGTTGTTGAATGGACTGAAGGACTTCAATAAGAACACAGATTTCCTGGAAGTATAGTGAGGCCAGATTCAAGATGCTTTCTTCAAACTTTCATTTCTTTCTAGAGTCCGCAACAGGCATTTCATTGGCGTAAGTGTATGTCCTACAATGGATATATATCGGATCCAAAAAATTGGAATTTTTCCGGCAAACTAGCCACAATTCCCAACTCAAAAAATCTAGATGATTTTTTTTCTGAAATATGACGGCATTTTATAAAAAGATGATCCGAAGAGTTTTCTTGTTATCTAGTAAAGGGCCCCTGATTAGGATTCTTACATTAGAAAGGGTCGTATAATAGATCACTTTTAATAATCGTATAAAATGATCTTATAGTTAAAAAAGTGTTTAAGAAGTATATTTTAATAGGTTATTTTTCAAAGGCTTAGGACGATGCTACAATAATCGGAAATAAATTTTAAATTAATAAATATAAAATGATACCTAAATATAGGGTCTTGCAATAAAATACCGATTCTTCGAAAACTTGTAAAAAATGGTTCCTAAAAAAAGACCGCCTTAAATCCCTCTGTGTTTAGATCTGCAAAATGTTGTTCTCAGTTGTGAAATAGCCGCTTGAAAAAAATCGAAACACATAATGGCGAGTAAAATATTGATAGCGTTTTTAGGTCTAATAAGGCCTATAAGGACTTCTAATGGAATTGGTTTGATTACAGGTCCAAAAAGTTTCTCGAAATAAACTATATTATGGTAAAGGTATTTTGAAGAGAAATTCAAACGGTCTATTACCTCTACTATGCTTACTAATCTTAATAGAATTCCTTTGTAAAGATAGGGTTTTGCGTAAGTTAGGTCTAAAAATCCTATATATCTAGCACATATGGCAATGGTAGTATCGAAAATTGACATCATGAATGATCGGAGTAATGTAGTCCTTTGGAATGTCTTTAAAAATTTATTTAAAATATCCAATTCCTAATAAAAGGCTATAGGTCATTATTATAGCAGAAGTGCCAACAATTAACAATTATAAGCAAGGAAGAATCAACAACAAATTTCCCCAGTAAGATACCCCTAAACATAAATCTCCCAATACCTACGATCGCAATAAAAGTGTTACCATGGACCATGTACCTCCAGGATGGCAATATGGGAATTTTGAAACAAACCTCAGCTTCGCAACACTCCACCTTGGGTTTGAGTAATTTGCGGCTTTCCACCACCAAGATTCATATCGCCGTACCTCAAAAAGTGCCATACTTTTGCCACCAGAACCAAAAAATTCCACCAAATCATTCTAATGTACTTTTTAAATCACAAGCATCTGTATACGAGACATTTTAAATCAGCTCAGTCCAGAAAATGTATTTGAAGGCCTAATAAAAATAACAGAAAAACTAGTACTTTTATCGGAAAAGAGTATTTATCTTCGTTGTAGCATCGATATTTTGGTATTCAATATGCATAATTTGCAGTTATGATACATTTTTGAAGACTCTCTGCAGAATTACAAAACAAAAACAATTAATTGAATCCAACACACAAAACACGGCATACAAATATCACACAAATTTTTATTACGACTGAAAATCTTTCCTCAATTTATCCTTTTCGACATAAAAAAAAAAAAAAAACTTGAAATCGTGATGTGCGGTAAAACTCGAAATTTTAGAAAAAATAAATAATTTAATTTACATTCAGTTTCCTCTAATTATCAAAATAATATACAAAGGTTCAAAACAATTTCAAATAGTTGAAAAGGAAAAAAAAGATCTCTTAAATCATTCAAACACAACTGAACGATTTTAAAACCAAATGAGTGAAAATGTTGGAACTATTGAAGTTTGTAATGAAAATAAAAATAGCAACAATAACAAAAACAGTAATGTCACCACGACTGCCGCCAACAACAATGATGCTAATACACCAGCAACTGCAATATTAAAATCTCAAGAATCGAACAAAAAATCTGCCACAGTCAAAGAAACTGGCCAGCCGAAGGGTGCAATTAACGAACCCTCATCATCATCTACCACAGAAAATCACAACTGCAACAACAACGAATCCGCCACCATGAATAAATCACAAAACTATCAAATGATGTCGCCACAAATGGCCACAGTGATGTCCTCGAGCAAGGCTGAAACAAAATCTGGCCTAAGATCACCGATATCCTCACCATTGGCTTCTCGAAAGAATCGTGGTTTACCACCGGTAAGTCCAAAATCAACACCACCATCGGCACGTAAACATTATCCCTTGGCATATAACGCCTCAACGGGTACCATATCATCGCCCATAACAATACCGGCAGTACCGCCACGAATGATGGCTGCCATAGCCTCAAGTCCGGCATCAAGTTTATCTCTGTCGTCATCGACATCGTCGCCCTCTTCATCGCCGCCACCACCTCCCTTACCGTGTAGGGCACCCAAGGTCCCTTCCAGTGGCAATGTGCATCGTTTGCTTAATGAAAGTCCCAAGGGAGGGGCGACGACACCAGGGGGACCAACTAAAACACAAATGGCCTCATCGCCCAAGAGTTCGTCTAAGTTGGATTTGGATAAATTAATTGCCCAGCAAAAGGAATTGGAAGAGAAAACTGCCGCCGTACAGGCCTCCACCAAGTTGGATGCCTCCTTCTATGATGCCGAAATTGAAATGATGAATAAATATTTGAAAAGTCTACCCGACTACAGTGAATTGGATCGTAAATTGCATAATGAATTTCGGGAATGTGAGGTCCTTTATGATAAACTAAAGAAACGCCAGGCTCCGCTAAGTAAATCGGATTCTCAGCAAAGTGTTGGAGAGGTGCAGAAGGGTATCCTGAAGCCTAGTGAGGAAAATCAATTAACCAAATCGTCCTCCACAAATTTTCAAACTCCCACTACGCTAATGTCCTCAACCACCTCCCTGAATAATAATGCGGTACCGCAGTTTACAGGACAGCCTCAGCAACAAAGGATCCAATATCCTTCGATTTTCCAACAGAAACCCAAATTGCAACGAAGTATCTCCAGCTCAAATATGCCTTACTATGGTTCCAATTCTTCGACATCTCTCAATTCTCCTGGCCTACAAAGAACCAACTTTTTCGATCAACCTCCCACCCTAACGGAAGAGAAAAATTCCCAACTAAATGGTTCCAATATGTCCTTGAATAAACAGACAATGAATGAATTTTGGAAAGATAATTTG